TAAACTAAAATGAATTTTAGAGTTAAATGTGAATTTTAAAATGTTAAACAGAAGAAGTGAAACATGAAAGAAGTAGAAAGAAGTTAATACCAGATTTAGGGTGGGGAAGCCCTTTTCCAAATAAATGGGGAAAAAGGAAACTATCAAGTAAAATATTGATAGATTTAGTTATATTTAAAAATTTTCACTTCTTTTGTGATGAAAAACAACACAAAGAAGATTATAAGGCAAACTGAAAATTCTGAAGAAAATACAACAGTCTTAATATCCTTTATAAAGAATTCTTATAAATCAAGGTATTTACCTTCTAGTTAACAAAAATGAATTGAGCAACTCTTATTAGCTCGATTAGATGATGGGGACAGAGCAGTAAACAAACAGTCACGCTATGGAACTTTCAGTCTCACGGAGGGAAACAGAAGAAAAATACGTAAAAACACATATGGCAGATGACAATAAGTGGAAAATGAAGTGAGAAGTGGGATAAGGGGTTCCAGGAGGGGAGAGACAATTTTTCATTGATGGATGGTTTCCCTGGGAAGATGAATGTGAGCTAAGACCTGAGGAGGGTGACAGCGAGCTCCAGGGCCATCTGTGTTTCAGGCAGAGGGATGGGCAGTGAGGTGGGAGAAAGCCTCATATGTTCAAGAGGGGGCCAGACCACCAGCCATTCAGGCTGGAGTGGAGTTAAGAGAGCAAGCAGCAAGAGATGATTGTCAGAGTCATAGCAAGTGGAACCAGATCATGTTGTCTTACTACCCTTTGGGAGAACTTTGGCTTTTCTATGCAGATGAGGGGAAGCCACTGGAGGGTTCTGAGCTGAAGAATATGGTCCCAATTATGATTCAGTTGTTGTTTAAAAGATGAAATGAGTTGAGAGACTACTGCAAGATGGTTGTAGAACAGTGTCTTTTGTTTTGCTTGTTTGTTTTTTTGTTTTGCAGGGGTGGGCAGGGCGCCGCAGCTGGTCTTTGGAGATGTTAAATTTAATACGCCCGATAGACATCCAACGGGTTTGTTAGCAGCCAGAAGGACATCCAAAGCCTATGGTTCCGGGGAGAGGTCTAGGCTGGAGATCTAACTACGGGAGTTGTCAGCCTACAGATACCATTGACAGTCAGGAGACTGAATGAGATCAGTAGGAAGTGAGTACAGACAGAAAGAGGAAGGCATCTAAGAACCAACCTGGATTCAATCCAACCCCGAAGATTTGGGTCAGGAGGAGGGGCCAACAAAGGAGACTGAGAAGTTGGGGCCAGTAAGGAAGGAAGACAATGAGAGTTAGGCTCCAGAAGTGAAGAGCTCACGGCATCAAGCGTTGTTGATAAGAAAGTCAGATGAGCACTGCGAACTGGTTATATCTGATGTTCTTATTTGTTTAGTCTGCTAGTTGTCCCTCAGTCTCTCAACTCACTCCCTCAGAATATACCCAAAATCGGGTTTTTTTTGCATCCCCCTCCCTCCTCTCAGCCAGCATTTCTACTTCTTTGCCTCTCTGACAAAAATCATGCAAGTTTTCACCACCTGTTTCCCGGATCAAGGCAACAAAAGGCCCACATGCTAGTAGTCTAATGCAGAAACCACTTTATAAAGGGGGGGGGCGGATCAGAAGGAAAGCAAAGGCTGTGAATTTTGATAACTATATATTTAAAAAGATATTTTTGTGCTTATTGACTAGAAATAAAACCATTCAAATGTACCAGCTATCAAAGAAATACAGATTAAAAATAAACTGGCTACAATTTTTTTTTTTTCAAATCAAATTGGCATTTAACAAAAAAAATCCCGTATGGGCAAGACTCAGCAGACATTTTCATATACTACTGGTGGAAGTGTTAATTGGTAGAACTTTTTTCCACAGGGCAATTTGGCAATACATAAGAACAATTTTTTTTTAAAGTTCCTTCTTCACACCTTTTGGTCCAGTGATTCTGCTTCTAGCAATTTATTGTAAGGAAATAATCAGAATGCACACCAAGATTTCTATAATAGGATACTTACACTTTAGCACTGTTTCTTATAGAATTTAGGATGCAGAATTCTATAAAGTCCTATATTCTCACAGAATATAGAAACAATACCTTAGGGTTAATTCTTATATAATTTACAGGATTAAAATAGTAATGAAAATAATTTAACACCCAATATTGGAGCATGAGTCAATAAATTATGAGAGAGCCACAAAAGAAATACTCTACAAAAGACTATTGAAAAGATACAAGAAAATGTCAATCAGGAATTTTCAAAGTAAAAAAAAAGGGAGAAAAGCTATAAAATGGCATTTACGGTATGATTCTAATTTTGTAAAGAAAAAGAAAAAGAACAGAGAAAAATTAGAAATATACCAACTAAAATCTTAATAGCAATTATTTCTGTATATGCTTGAAATTATTAAAGCTTTTACTCATTTGGAAATATTTATTGAGGGCCTACCATATGGCAGGCACTGTTCAGGGCACTTGGGAGACATTAGTGAAAAACGAACAGAATCTGGCCTTGCAGTGCTTACATTCTATCAGGAGGGATACAGAAAACAAACAATAAGTAATAAAGACAGTATATATCTTTTCGGAGGTGATGCGTGCTAGAGAAAAAAAAAAACCAAAAGAGCAAAAAAAGTGGGACTGGGAATGTTATGGCTGCCATTTTAAACAGGGTGGTCAGGATAGGTGTTATTGAGAAGATGGCATTTAACAAAGATGCTATGGAGGTGAAGGAAGCGGCCATGTGAATACGGAGGGAAAAGTATTCCAGATAGAAGGACTGGCAAATGCAAAGGGCCGACAGTGGGAACATGTTTGATATGTCTGAGGATCAGCAAGAAATCCTGTGTGGCTGGAGGTGACTGAACCTGGTAGTAGGAGATGAGGAGCCAGGCTGGGTCGAACCCACTGGAAAGTTCTGGGAATGTTGGGAATAGATGGGATTGGGAGCTACGGCAATAACTGAGATGAGAGCGTTGGAATCAACGGAGAACAGTGACATACTGAGAATTGGTCAGATTCCGGATACATTTTGAAAGAACAACCAACATGCTATCTTGATGGTTTACATCTGGGGTACAAACAGAGAAGCCTTCAAGGTTTTGGACCTGATGAGTCGGGGGAGAAAGCTGTCAGCAACTGAAGTGGAAAGATTATGAGTAAAGCAGGTTTGGGATCGAGTGGGGAGATCAGGAGTTGAGTTTTGGACATGATAAGTCTCTCCAAGAGGAGATGTCCAGGAGGCAGTCGGCTAGGCAGAAACTGTGAACTGGGGACTGAGAAGAGGTCCAAAGACTGTGCACTGGGGCACTCCAACATTAAGGGGTTAAGGAGTCAAGTAACAACCAGAGGAAGACTGGTTGAGAAAGGGACCAGTAAGGGAGGAGAAAAATCAAACGAATGTGGGGCAAATAAGAGTATCAAATGCTGCTCAAATGCTGATAGGTTAAATAAGTTGACAGGTGAGAATTGGTCACTGGGTTTAGCAATGTGGTGGTCAGGGCACTGGCCACTTTAATACGAGGGTTTTGGTAGACTATGTTGAGAGGAGCTGACCAGGGGGCAAGTTGGAGAGGGCTGAGTACAGACAAGCCTTTTGAGGAATTTTGTTGCAAAGAGACTTAGAGAGCTGGGTGGTGGCTGACTGGGGAAGTGAGATATTAAGAAGTTTATTTTTCTTTTTAAATGGAATAACTAGCAGCATGTTTGTATGCTGACGGGGAGCCTAGCCAGTCCACTGTGATCATTAATATTCTCAAGGAAGTAAGATGATAGCAGATGGTACAGTTGGAAGGTCACATAAGGAATTCCTGAACAACCAACCTCCCCCACCAGACTGGTCTACTCTGTTACCTGCATTCTAATTCTCCAACTTCTCCACTGACTCAGGAGGTTACATTTAAAATATAAACATTTAGGGTTGGCATGACCTTATAGAACAATAATCACAATTAAGGTTTCCCCCACCTCCTTGACCCCCACACACCAAGAGCCCACTCGCCCCCACTGGAAAGTGTGTTGCTTAAAGTTTCAGAATTACAGATTGAGCACAGAAGCCATGAAATGCTATGAATCTGTTTTGCAAGAAAAAAAATTGGGGGAAAAGAAAAATCTTAGCCCTTTCCCCCCAGGAAATCAAAACAACTGTCCTATTTGCTGCCCCTTCACCAAAGGCTAGAATTGCAAAGAGAAAACCCAGGAAATCAATTCTGGATATCTCTACTAGAGGGTTCTACATACCTGACCCAGAACTCAAGGCTTAAATTCTGGCATCCATCCTCAGCCATCTGCCAGCCAAGCCTCTGCTTCCTCTGCACACCTAACATTCCCACTCAAATTATATCTATTCTTTCTCCCCCTATGGGTCTAGTATCATCATTCTCTGTCCCTCCTTCTCATAAATACCAGGTCTCAGAAAACAATGCAAGAAGGAATGGTAGCTTAGAACCAGCAGGGGTTTTGTGTTAGTTCTCATTTTACAAATGAAGAAACCAAGTCTCAGAGAGTGATGTGAATTGCCCAAAAGCCAAAAGCCGATTAGGAAGAAACCTCCAAAAAGAAAAAAAAATGATCAACTCATTTATATCAAGGTGTATTGATTGATAATTCTCTGACAAAGGCATGTTCTAACAGAAGCCATAGGCGTAAGCCAAAGGAATGGATGCTGAAAAGCAGAAAGGGAGGTCCAACAGGCAGAGAAGGCTGTTGTAATTTTAGCATCAGGGTAGTCTTTTGGGTGTTTGATATTGCATAAGCAATTCCCTGATTTGTCTATTCCAGTTCTCAAGGGAGAGTGATTTTGCCTCCTATGGGAGATTTGGCAATGTCTGGAGAGATTTTGGTTGTCACAACTGGGGGGAAGGTGCTATTGGCATCGAGTAGGTACAGACTAAGGATGTTGTTAAACATTCTGTAGTGCAGAGGACAGCCCTCGCCTCCAATACATGACCCAAATGTAAATCATTTCAGAAGTTCTGGTTTACTTTGAAGGAAAAGGAAGGGAAGAAAGAACATTACCAGAAGTTGGCTCTGGAGTAGTGTTCCATGTAGAGCTGCTCATCAGAAAAGGGGGCCAAGTGGATATCGCTGAATGTCGGGAACATCATTCCTAATGAGCAAAAGACAACAGACCCACAAGTTGACTCCTACTGCCTTCTGATTGAAGGGCCACTCACCTGCCACTTGACCAATTCCATTCTTCCATCTATTTCAGTTATTTCACAACTGGCTAAAATATAATTTTGCCTCAAAGCAAGGATAAGAAAATTAGGCAGAAGATCAGAGGGGATATAAAAAAAAAAATACCAAAGCAAGTCCCAAAGCTATGTAATGATAAAAGCTTGTAGAGGTGAGGCATTCAACCTGGCAGATTTACCTCCTCAGCTATTGGCTTTTTTCTTTTCTGTACGTCTTGTGCTTAGAATTTTGGGTACTTGCTTTATTTTTTCCCCCTTTGTTGTAAAAATAACTTAGCCTTGAAAATAATCAACAGTCCATCATTCTATCACATCATTTTCCTTTTTCAGACTTTATTCGTGTATAATCATATTGACTATCTTTTTAAGTGCTGTCAGAATCTATGCTTTTATGCAGGCTCACCATCCTCCATGCTGGGATGCCCGCACTTGTGTTTTGTTCCTGACATCACCAGGGAAAGACAGATTCTTTGGTGGGCAAACGAACACCTAGACCAGATAGACACCTGAGCAGATAGACTTGGTGATGAGCATTATTATTCTTGTCATTTTAGGTAGACTCTTTTTCTTTTTCAGAGTCATTTATTAAACTGCACATGAAAGAAAGATGAATTATTTACTCAATTTCAGAATGAAGATCACCTAAGAAACTGGAGAGATACTGTCAAAAATAATAATTCCTAAAACTTCTTGATTTTGTTACCTCTGCCATGAGCTTTTTAATGGGATCTCCAGGTATTCATTCATTTAATCCTCATAACAACATAAAGTGGTTTCAATTTTTTATGTCCATTTTATAAATGAGAAAACTAAAGAACAGGGACATTTAAGTGGCTCAGCTGCAATCTCAGAGCTAATAAGTGGAAGGGCAAACTCCAAGGGTGGAATCTCATCAGATAGTCAAGTCCCCACATTTAACTCAATGTCTGTTAAAGTAGAACACATTGCTTTATTTAGGGTACTTTCCAAGGCAGTCAGAGAAAAAGCATGATTGTAACATCATTCATGTCATCATCTAAATCTCATGTGTTGCCATCAAAACAATAATGTCTGCTGGTTGGTTTTACAATTTCAAGATAGAAAGATATGAAACAACCTTAAAAAAAGTAATACGTATCATTATTTGTATAAACTTGGGAAACTTCAGAGGAAAAGTTCTGAGCCAAAGTCTAATAGGAATTCCAAAGATATCAGATAAAATGGAGGAGAGGAAATCATTAAAGGAGAAATATAAGAAAAATTCCAAGAGCTGAAGAAAATGAATCTTCTGACTTGACATACTCACTATGCGTCTAACAGAAGAATTTAAAAAGTTTCACACTGGGCCGACCAAGTGGCTCAGTTGGTTAAGAGCTTGCTCAAGAGTGTGAGCTCTGAGCAACAGGGTCGCCAGTTTAATTCCCGGCCTGAGCTGAGCTGCCAACAGCTGCCAACAGGTGGCAGGATGGCTCAGCTAAAAAGAAACAAACAAAACTTTCACACTAAGAAGACTAGAAATAAAGACAAGATACTAAAAGTGTCCACAGGGAAAAACTGTCACTTTAAAGGGTCAGGAGTCAGAATGGCATTGGACTTCTCAATAGCAATGTTGGGAACCAGAAACCAGAAAACGATGCCTTAAAAATACTGAGTATATTGGGCCGGCTGAGTGGCGCGATGGTTAAGAACTGGCTTGGGCCACCAGAGGGCCCCGGTTTGGATCCTATGTATGAGGGCCAGTGACACTGCCCTCTAAAAAAAAAAAAAAAAAATACTGAGTATACTGCAGTGTAAACCTGAAGCTGAAGCTGAACAATACTGAATGTCAACTATAATTTAATATATCTATAGTCACAGGATGTGGAGTACAGCACAGGGAATACAGTCCGTGGAATTGTAACAGCTATATACGATGTCAGAGGGGTAGTAGATTGGGGGCGGGGGTTATCACTTTGTGAGGGGCGTAAATGTCTAACTATTACATTGTTTTTACACCTGACACTAATTAAAAAAAAACAACTGAGTAAAACTGTTTTCAAGTTAAAATTCTCTACCTAGCAATATGACAATACACAGATTCAATCAAAAGTAACTTCTCAAGCACCCTTTCTCCAGAAACCATTAGAGAATATTCTTGGCTAAAATGATGGTGTAAACCAAGAAAAAGGAAGACACAAGAATGAGGAGAGAAAGTCAAAGTATGGTAGCGATGCAGTAGCCTGGAAACCAACCAGGGCATGTGTGGTAAAGGGGGACAGAGGATGGCGGGAAGAAGGCTTCCACACAATAAATGCTGACTGGATCTGTCAGACCTGTTGGAGCATGGACAAAATTAGTCACGACTACACAGAAAACTAAGCTCATGAAAAAACAAGGCAATTAGCCCCAAGAAAAGCAAAAGACTGCATGAGAAAATACATAATCATATGCACCTACTATATCACCTGATTCAGCACTGAACAACATTTACATTGTCATAATAATGTAAACATTGGTTATTGATTTAATCAATAATGAGCTAGGTCCATATTTCTTTACATTACATTCTGAAATCCAAAAAGCTCTTCAAAGCAACAGAGTTTGCAATATCATTTGATGGCCAAACCTGACCTGAACTGACGTCAGCTTAGTTAAATCCTTATTTATCTCACTTGGCATCCATATTCCTATGTTTTGGTGCAGAAATATAATGTATTTCATTATGGAGTGTTGCCCCAGATCCCAATGGAGGCATTAAACATTATATGTTACGTGACTTTATTATCTTTCCAAAGTCTTCCAGATTCTGAATTCTGAAGTGTATCTGGCCCGACAGGGTTGGGATAAGGAACTAAGAACCTTAATAAATACATTGAGAGGATGGGCGGAGGGCAGGTGCATCAAGACATGAAAGAGCATCTATGTAGGAGAGCTAACTTCTCAACCTTAGAGTGACAAGAATAGCAATATGATAACTTAAAATGTAGGTAAATAATAGAAGAAAGAGAATAGAGTTGAAAGGGGATAGTCTTTGGGGAGCAGCCTCAGGATAGGCAGACGTGTTACAGAAGTTTACTATTTCTATTATAAGCCTTTTCATTATTATTTGATGTTGAAAACATCTTATTTTTGATAGAAAATAAAAACAATTAGGAAAAAAATCAATCATGCTTCCCTCAAGAACCCACAGTAGGAAGCTGATAAAATCCAATATTTATTTCTATTTGTCTAGTTAAAGAAACAGCCCAATATAAACTTTCATATCCATTTCAAATATCTGGGGAAATATTCAGCTAAGAGAGGCTCAATCAGATGCATGTTAATTAACTATGTGTGAAATCTCATCACACAGAAGCACCTACCCATTTGCAAAAAATCCAGATAAAAATATAAAAATTCTTCCTGGGGGGCATTGAGGAGGAAACCTAAGCAGCTTTCCTTCTTTACTGTCATCTCCCACAGTTCAATTTTATCATTTGAACACAAGGCTTCCAAGATCACCTCAGGCTATTTTACAATGGGAATGCCAATGAAGTTGTTTTTTTTCAGCCGAGCCATCCTGCCACCTGTTGGCAGCTCAGCAGCAGCTCAGTTCGGGCCAGGAATCGAACTGCTGTTGCTCAGAGCTCAAACTCTTGAGCAAGCTCTTAACCAACTGAGCCACTCGGCCAGCCCACCAAAGAAGTTACTGACATTAGTCATACTTTGCCTATGTTTATTTGTTTATTTTTGCACATGAATTTTTTAAGTGTATATTTATGTACCCTTCAATTTGGAAACATGTAGAAAATTACAGGTGAGCCTCAAGCTTTATTTATATGCATATACTGTGTAACTTGGTGAGTACAAGTTGCACATTTTATTTGCTATTTTGTCTTCATTGGATATCAAAGTAGGGAGCCACAACATTTGGTAATTTCAAGTAAAACAAATTAAGGCATGAAGCTGCAATTCTCTTAAGAGATGCAACTGTTAAAATTCGCCAGATACCTTCTATGCCTCAATTTAAAAAATGTGTTGTTGGAACATGTGCACTCTCTCTGGTGAAGAGTGGAAAGTTGGCACCTGTGTAGAAATTGTGAGTGTGGGCTTCAGGGTCAGACAGATCTGAGGTCAAATCCTTGCTCTGTCACTTATTACAGATGTGTCCTTGCCAAGTTGCTTTTCCTCATTGTGACTCTGTGTTCTCTTTATAAAGTGGGGATTGTAGTAGTGCCTCCACTAAGCCAGGTCTCAAACTTGGCACTATTACATTTTGGACTGATGCCTCTTTGATGTGTGTGGGGCTGTCCTGTACATTGGAGGATGTTTAGTAGCATCCCTTGTCTTTCCCACTAGATGCCAGTAGCTCCCCCAGCCAGTTGTGATAGCAAAAATGTCTCCAGGCATTGCAAATGTTCCCAGAGGAAGAAGTATAAAATCATGGAGAATCTCAGCACTAACTCTTCAAATAAATTGAAAACCTTCATCATTCATACTTTGTAAGGTTTTCATAAAATAACTTATGCAAATTGATTAGCACATGCAGATAGTTCGTAAGCACAAATATGCATTGGACTTTATATTTTTATCTCAATTATATGCAGTGATCATAGGGAAAGAAACACATAGTAGAAAAAGAGTATGTCAGAAAAAATCAAGCAGATACCAGTTTCTCACATCTGAGAAGACCAACACTTGAAAACGTTTTAGAGATTATGTTTAATAATACAGATGAGAAAAGGTCAAATATTAGGCCAAGTTCCTTAAGGAAGAACGTGATAGAACCAGGACAAAAATGCATAACTCTGAACTGGTCCATATTGAATACTATGTGGCCCACTGCCATCAACATACCGTATTTGCCGGCGTATAAGACGACTGGGCGTATAAGACGACCCCCTAACATTTCCACTCAAAATACAGAGTTTGTTATATACTCGCC